ATTCGAACCTTGAGGAATATACCATTACCATTTGGAGAGGGTGATGACTAGACCACTTCACTAAGGCGCCACACCTCTATAATTTAAATATTATATAAAAAGTTTAATATACCTTCTATATATATTTGGGTTCTATACTATATATAGTAAAGTAATAATATTTCAATACCTACATCATAATTTGAATCTTTAGAAATTTTTATTTTATTGACAATATGTCTTCTGAAAGTATTGTCTTTGGCTAAATAAGTATTAATTAAATTAATTAAATATTTGTAAACTTGTCTAGCTAAAATTGATTATTCTCATTTATCTTTTTTGCTTTTTTTATAGTTTCCTCAGATGGTTTATATTTATCACTAGTTGTTAGTTCAATATCAGTAGCTTCATTTTCAATTCTGATTTCAATATTATCATTAGTTGATTACCCTTCATTATTCACAATATTAGTAGCTTCATTTCTAATTCTGATTTCAATATTGTTATTAGTTGATTGCCTTTGTTATTCAGCATTACTTCTCTGTACACTTTTGTTACCTTTTCTATAGTAGTTTTCTTTGACAGTTTATATTCATTACTAGCTATTAGTTCAACATTAATATTTTCATTTCCAGTTCTGATATCAGTATTATTAGTTGATTGCTTTTTGCTATTTATTATTAATTTTCTGTATAACTTTTCAGTAGTAATTCATATTTTATGTTTATTGTTATTTCGCTATCAAATATCTCACCACATTCATCAGATTTTTTCTAATATTATTATTGGTTAATTGCTCTTTATTATTCATAATTACTGGCTTTTAAACTATAAAATTTAATATAAGCACATGAGAATATACAACTAAAAGTAACTTAAAGAGTTGTACCTTTTTTGTAGATAATATCATGATATTTGACTTTCTTTTATAATTTTTCTTATTAATAAATGATTCAACTTTGTTTTGTACAGAATGGCTTGGGCCTTATTTCTAGCCAAAAATTAATCCAAATCAAATTGTACCTGCCAACTATAAACTACTATTAGTAAAGATTATATATATTTTGGTATTTTAATTAACTAACAAGTATATCAACTTGGTCCATTTTAATAACTAAATTTTTTTCTTAATTTCTTCAAGTTTGAGCATTCTCCAGAAATCTTTAACAGCTTTCTATTGTGCCTGAATCTTTAGAATAAGTAAAAATAAATTAAATAAATTAAATCAATATAACTAATAATTATATGCTTGCAAGACTGTAAATGAAAAAATGACAATATAAGTCAAAGTAAGTCATTAGTGGCTGCAAATGAATGAGTAGTTCTTGATATAATGACAAGTTGACTTAATCTTTATGCAAACTTAAAATGAAACCTACTAGAGTAAGTTTTTTTTATAACTAATCTCTATAACTAGTCTAGTAAATTGTTAGACTGCTCAAATAATTATTTTGATAATAAGATTGATAGTAAAAATGCATTGGTATAAATGTTTGAAACATGCTATTTTAGAAGTTTAAAGCTACTGTATAGTATAATAATATGAATAAAAAATTCAAATTACTTTTCTGATAGGCTTTACATTATATATATATAGTATAACAAAAAGAGTATTATAGAATTCTATTTTATCAATCATGCAAAGTACAAGAAATGATCAACATTTATGATTTTCAACCTTTTAATAATGGTAAAATGTAACAAATTACCTTTTGTAATTAAAATTTTCAAAAAAAAATTTCATTTACAGATTAAGGTTTAGAAAACACAAAAACAAGTATTATTAGATAAACTAGTTTAAAACATGGTAAAACTTAATACTAAAAAACATTATAGATATAAAGTTGAACTTTTGTTTCAATTCCATATGCCAAATCTATTTATACCACATTTTTTTTAATTTCAAAAAATAATACTGTAGAATCTAATATACTTTTAATGCTACCTTTTTGCAAGTAAATTTGCAGGTACAGATGATATAAACAAATTATTTTAGTTACAGTTAAGAAATTTAGTTATTGCTATTAATACAGTATGAAAACTAGAGAATAAATAATGGCTCTTGAAGATCAAAATGTTCATCAACCTGGAATATTAGATCATTGAAAATTTAAATGAATTAACAAGGCACTTTATGAGAACTTTATACAAACTTTCTCTGAATATTGAACATAATAACTTGGATCAGAAGAGAAAATTATTAACGAATGCTCTGCAAGAACAGCATGCTGATTTCTCTGAATCTTGAACGTAAAAACTTGGAAATTATTAGTGAATACATTTTGAAAGTACACTATCCAGGCTTCTCTGAAACTTGAATGTAATAAATTTGGATCAACAAATAAGTAGAGCACCACGTTTACTTCTTTGAGTTCTGAATATAAAAAGTAGATAAAAAGGAGGCTATGATTTGCTGATGCACTTTGAAAAACTGCCACACAAATCTCTCTTAATATTGAACATGATAAACTTGGATTAGAGAAGGGAAATGATTAGTGAATACACTTGCAAGAACATACACTGACTTCTCTGAATCTTGAATGCAAAAAATTGGATAAGAAGGTAAGTTATTAGTGGATACACTTTGAAAGAACACCACCCAGACTTCTCTAAATCTTGAGTATAATAACTTTATATCAGGAGATAAATTATTAGTGGATGGCTTTACAAGAACACTATGCTGAATTTTTTGAGTTTTGAAATAAGCTTAGATAAGAAGGAGGAAAGTGATTTCAGATGTACTTTGAAAGAACACTACACAAGCCTCCCTGAACCTTGAACATACTAAATTTGGATCAGGTAGAGGAAAATGACTAGTAGGTGCCTTTGCAAGAACATCACATCTTTGAATTTTAAATGCAAAAACTTAGATAAGGAAATTATTAGTGGATGCACTTTGAAAAAACACCACCTGATTTCTATTAATCTTGAACGTAATAAATTAGAATCATAATGAGGTAAATTATTAGTGAATGCACTTTGAAAAAATACCATGATGATTTCTCTAAATCTTGAATGTATCGGAAGAAGGAAAATTATTAGTGAAATAATAACTTTGCAAAATCATCACACTAATCATTAATCCACTTTTTAAAGAACGAATTCATTGAAGTAACTTTAAAGATACTTTTAAAAATGGGACTGAATTGATTCATACAGTGCTTCGGTCAAAACCCTGAGGTCCGAAATGTTTTGGCTCTATTTCATCCAAATTCTGAAACTTTCGAAATGGCAAACCCTTTGAAACTTCGAAACTTCCGAAACTTAATCCAGCGAATTATATAAAAAAAGAAGCTATAAAAAAAAAAAAAAAAGAAAGAAAGCGCATAATAAATGTGGCAGCTTATACTGAAATTTGGCGTCTCTATTTAAATCTATAGTATCTACTAAAATCCACATATACTTTTTTATTAATAAAATTACCCTCCTAATCTCTAACTATGAAAAAAGTATACAAAAAAGGCCCTAAAAAATTTTACAATTTTATAATAAAATATGAAAAAATTTCAACATAAGCTGCCACAATAAATATTTACCAATCGTATAATTTTATATTATATCATGCAAAGCCAGTAACGGAAAGTATTATCTCAAATTTGCAAATAAAGTGTATTATGTACTAGTTAACTAGAGTTTGGAACCAACCAAAAAATCATTAGCCGGTTAAAATTTCCTTAGCCGGTTAATCGATAGTTAATATAAAGTCTGCAGATGAATTATTGAAGATAAACAAGAAAGTAATGTTTGAGTAACTCTGAAGAAATGAAAAACAACCTAATTTTGCATACAGTCTTTAACTTCTGCAGAAATCGTTCAGATATTTTTCTGTTGAAAACTTTTTTCTAAATAAAATTGCTGATCAGTGTATAATTTCATTAATGATTATTAGATTTCCAACGTTATTAATATGTACATATTTGATAATGCTCACACCTCATTGGGAACTAAGCTTAACGTTGAAACATGATTTGGTGCTTAAATCTCTATCATAATGTGTACGTAATAAGTTCTTTATATTGAGTTTTATTCTGGTACCTTTACATTATGTAAACCTTGAGATTCTACGTCATAAAAGTGATTTCCAAATACCAATCTACTGAATTAACGTAAATCAATAAAATGTTCGAAATTCAATGGTAAATTATATTTTATTATGCAATAACTTTTTTGATCTACTATTGCTATCGCTGTAATAACTATTAACTAGGGTTTAACCATTTATAATTTTTTTAACTTTTTTGATCTACTATCACTGTATTAACTATTAACAGGGTTTTTCCGTTTATAATTTTTTTAACTGATTACTGAAAAATTACAACATAGAGGAATAATTAATATTCAATTAAACCCCCCCGATTACTAAAAACTTGCCAAAGAAACTTAATAAATTACATAAAAATGAGCGATTCAAGTTTCTGAATAATATTTTATTCGCATTAATTTAGTTATTAATGAGTGTAAAGTTATTTATAAATAGGGATGTTAATGGTTGATCCAGTCCAATTTGATTTTATAAATCAGATTAAAACTAAACCAGATAAAAAAAAAAC